TCTCTCTCTCTCTCTCTCTCTCTCTCTCTCTCTCTCTCTCTCTCTCTCTCTCTCTCCAACGGGCAGCAGCGGCAGGCGCCACGTCGAAACGGCCGCTTTGAAATTTGCTCGGGCCTGTGTGAAACTCGCCACCCCAAGAACCTGCAGTGTCTTGTGTCCGGACCTCTAGGTCCTGTCCGGTGGGGTGAAACGACACAAAAATCACCCCGTTATTTTTTGAGGGGCGGCCAGGATCCGATAAACGTCCTGGGCCACCCCCTTTTTTTTTGTTTTTTTTTTTGCTCCAGGGGCCTCCATCAGGACATAAGGACCGGACACTGCACACCGGACACCGGACTGTCTGGAACCCGGTCTGGACGTCCGGATGGTTACCATGGATTTTTTGGATTTCTTTTTTTTTCTAGGGACCTCTGGTAGCCCTTGCCCCGCCCGGCCGCCCGGGAACGTGACCCTGGCGGCCTGGTTGGCAACACAGGTCAATTCAATAAAGCAAGTGATTGCTAAGTCTTGGCTAATCAAGTCATTGTTTGATTGGTTTTGCTAATCGACTCATTGTCTGATCAATTTTGTTAATCAAGTCATTGTTTGATTGATTTTGCTAGAAATCAATTGAGTCAGTGTTTGGGCATTCAGTCACGTACATGATCAGATCTCTCCATTATTGATTGGTGGGTTTTGTGCTTGGTTAACGTTTTTTTTCTTTTTTCAAGTTGGTTGGTTGGTTGACTGTGATCAATCAATGGATTGCTAAGCCTTCACTAATGGAGTCATTCAACTTGTTTGATGGATACTGATTTTGCTAGAAATGCCTGAAAGTAATATGGAGGTGAATCTGAATCGGGGGGGGATTTCGGCAGACGCTGGCAAGCGGCCGGGTTGGGTTGCGAAGCCGAGCACGTTTAAGGACAACAAATGGGTACACACATCGCGCACGCTATACATTACCAATGTTGCACCGGGGACAGGGTCCGAGGAGCTGGAAGGGCTGTTCAGGCATCTTGATGGATTCCTTGCGTTTCGGCGGGTCCGGAGCATGTGTTTCGTGGACTTCAGCACAAAGCAGCAGGCTACGTCTGCTATGTGGCAAACACATGGTCACAAGTTCAAACCCTCAGACGAAGGGCTACTTGTGAGCTATGATAAAGATGATACGGAGGAGCGGGGGGGATGGAGCATACGGAAACGAGAGGAAAACAAGAGGAAGAGAAAAGAGGTGGAGTCGACGAGGGTGCTCTACCGATGCTCCGCATGTGGGCACTTCTGTTTTAAACTGGCGCGCATTCTGTCGGAGATGCCAGAGAGGAAGACAGACAATTCGCGGGTCGTGGAGGTCGGGAAGGACTTGTGCTCGCTAGTGTGCGCAAAGGGCGGAACGAAGCTCCTTAAGAGGGACAAGGGGGTTGAGAAGCAGTACAGATATAACTGTGAACTCTGTGACCTATGTGTTGGGTACCGCCCTGTTCCRTACGAAATGGCGACGAAATATATTTACATTTTCCCAGAGGCTGTGAAGGCAACGACGGTCTCGGAGACGGAAGATCGAGCGAGTGATGAACAGTCACCCACCAGGGGTAGTACTGAACAGGCAGAAACTGGTGTCGGCGAGGCAAAGGGCCTGCTTCCCAAACCTGTTCTATTGCTCCCAATGACGAGTGTTCCAGCGGCTGCTCCAGGATTGTCACACCCATGCTCACTTCTTTCGTCAGCGTCCACACAAATGCCACCACCTCCTCCTTCTCAAGCGACAGTTGCTGTGGCTCCCACTCTCCCTGGCATTCCACAGCTGCTGTGTTCTTCATCTGCCAGAAGTGCAGAGGTTCAAACTCCTCCAGTCACATTGACTGCTCCATCTCCTGGCAGTATGTCTGTCACTGGCAATAACTCTCCTCCGCCCGCTGCCTGCTCCAGTGTCACGGCTAATGAGCCTCCCTAGAGTATACAACGTCCTGACTGAAGTGAAGGCCTACCGTCATTGGATGCATCTGACCCTTGAGGCTGACCGGATGCATCACCGTGCAACGTGGAGGCTCGGCAGGAAGCACTGTTCACCAGTGAGCTGCAGTTTCAGCCTTTTGCTTCCATGGACGAATCTGACCGTGTTTCCGGCTAGATTCCCCCGAACAAAAAATGGGGTGGTTCTAAGTAGGGTGGCAACTTCTTGCCTCCGCCGGCTTACAAATTGTGGGAGCAGATATTACTGGGAATGCATGCTGCTCTGTGTCCAGGTTCATTGTATCATCAGAATAAAAAAAAGGGATGCATGCTAAGCAAGAGATGTGGCAGAGCTGCAACTAGGATGCAATGCACTTGGACTAATGTATATAATGTAGTCGATGTGCTGCTTCGAAAAAAAAAAAGAAGAAGCGATGGTTAGGAGCAAAAAAACAGGGTGGAGGAGAAGGAGAGGGAGGAGGGAAAAGGGGAGGAGAAGCAAGAGGAAGAAAAAAGGAAGAAGAGAAGAGAAAGGAGGAGAGGAGGAAGAGGGAAGGAGGGGAAGAAAAGTGGAGAAAGAAGAAGCAGGAGGAGGAAGAGAGAAAGGAGGCATAAGAAATGTGGTCCATGTGGTGTCTGCCTAAGCAGCTGAAGCAGCTGATTTATGTCCAGGTTCACTGTATCATTGGAAGAATATGCATGCATGCAACCCTCACTGTCATGTGGAAGGGGTTTTGTTGGAGGATGCATGTCACCGTGGTCCACTCTGTTCTAAGAAGGATACCCTTTTGCCCTCTGTTACGGACGGGTGGGGGGGGGGAGACGGGGGGGTTAGTGGCGTGGCATTTGGTTGTTCTCCCCATTGTAAATGGAATGCAGGGAAGGATTTCCGGAAGCTGAGAAGGAAGGTGCTTCTCCATTTTTTTTTAATTTTAATTGGGTCCTACACCTTATGAGACTCCCTCCCAACCTTCTTCTCTCATCACCCCTACTCCCACAGTCCTACCTCAGTGTTTACCACTCAGGTGTTTCATGGAGAAAGGAAAGGAAGAGAGAAGAGGTAGTGTACTTCACATAGGAAAGCCAAGCATCAGTACTGGAGAGTAGGCCTAACAGACCCATCCTGTTGTTCGTTACACCCCTTTTGCAGAGCATAAGCATTAAGTTCATGTTTATCTGGTTGATTCACTGAAAACAGAATGTGGCTTCGGAGTCGATGCCCTTGTTTTTGTTTTTTTTTGGCTGCTTGTTATTTTGTAATATACGACGATCCATGTTTTCATCTGGGGCCACATCCCACTTACTCGGATTCTTCATTTTGGCCATTGATTTTCCTAATCTACCTTAAGAAATGTATTACCAGTGTTTCACCCGAATTCGCGTAAGTGGGACTTAGCCCCTGGTCAAAAAGTATGAAGCTTGATTTTGTTGTCATGTATTACCAGTGCTAAACCACCAGCCTCTCTTGGGCTGTTATCGCCTCAAGGGCAACTTCCACACTTGCGGTGCATCGGTGTGCTGCAGTGCGGTGTGGTGCATGGTGCGCCTTGTGTGGATTAGTGGTTCATGTGCAATATTTTTCTGTTTTTTGGGGGGGGTTGGGGGGGGGGGGGGGGG